AGGAATCATCGGTCGCTGGCTTAGCTAGCTCCATGCCTGCATGCGCAGCCGGTGAATGCGGGGGGCCCTGTTTCGTCTTACTACGTGAGATCGAGTCACAGGTCACATGTCGCAGTCAAGCATTAGCCCTTGTTAGCCACTGGCCACCAGCTAAGCTAAGTACTAGCTAGTCAGTGGTCACTGGTCACTCACATTACATAATGAGAACTTAAGCATCTAGACAGATCGAGCTGCATGGATGCATCATAATGCCAATCTGCCTTTGTTATTTGTACCTGGAATCTGATCGCAGGATAATCCACGGCCTTGCCTGATTAATCAATGAATCAATGATCATTGATTTGATTATTCTCTGCTTGGACGCTTGGTCCATACTGTACATTGATAAAGAGTAAATTCATGTGATGTTTGCTTGCACCAGTACTAACCAACACGTACGCCTCGCCCAATCAGGAATCCGTGGGGGCAGCCTCGCCATGAATGGGGGGCTAACCGTGTCTTCATACCTGTCGGATAGCAATCACTGTCTGGTGATTCTGAACTCCGGAATGCAGAGGCAGCGACGCAGCGTCACATTTCTGAACCGACATCCGACAATGCACGTTGTGAGTGTTGCTCGCTGAGATGATTAGGCGTTGATGTCTTCTCCTGTACAATGAGTGCCCGGTTATTTGTTCGCCGACGATTGTGGGCGTGCTTAATCTGCTGTTCGCAAGAGTTTCGCTGAACAAGCATCATGACAGGATGATTACAGATGCTAACACAGGAATAGTTCAGCTATGTACTATTTTGGCTTGTGTTCTTTCTAGAGGTGGCCAAGTGGGAGGCAAGATAGCTGGCCCCCAATTCCGTTAAGATAGGAGGAAACAAAGTTTCAGTCTTCCAGAGCACAGAGTTACAGAAAAGATAAAAACAGAGAAAATGAGTTGCAGAGTTTACAGTGAAGGAATCAAGAAAACCAGACACACCCTGCTGTAAACAGCTGCTGCTCTTGAGCTGTATTGCCGAATCTCTGCAACTTCATGCTTCTCCCTGATGAATAGCAGAACTCCCTGCTTTCCATTCCAGAGAAAAAACATGCATTATAAATGGTGTTTCAAAAATAGAAGAAATGGCCGCACCAAGCTACTGGCGAATGCGTTAAATGTGCAAATGATTGGGTTCGTTTCGTTCTGGCAATCTAGTCGCGTGTGGGAACATACTTCACCATTATCAACTTCCATGTTCATCCGCGTACTGAACACATGACAAGTCCAAAGAGTAACCCGTTTTCTTTTCCTCACGTTGTCCGTACTAGCCAACAAGGCAACAAGTTTGAGCAGACTCTACACTGAAAAAACTAACAAGATTGCTGTAGCATGTGCAGAGAAGACAGGGCAACTGGGCAACGGACCAAACGGTAGATGCATGATACGCCATCATACACTTGTAAAGTAGTGTACACTCAACTTTCCAATTGCCCGGCCCTGTACTACAAGACGCTACGTCCAAGTCCAACACCACGCGTGGTTCGGATCGCAAATAATCGCCGGTTAGTAACACCATGACCACGAGGACATTTCCGGTTCTTAGGGCTCTTTGATTCGTAAGGAAAATGTATGTATTTTGGAGGATTTTAATCCTATGAAAAAAAATCATATAAATGCCTTTGAAACAAAGGATTGAATTCTATCCAATCCTTTAAAATTCCTATGGAATGGGTAATCCTATGCACATTTTGGAGAAAAGTTAGCAAGAGGTCTAACCACTTGGAACATTTCCTCTGAGTCTATCTCTCTCATCTGATTCCTTCGTTTTTCCTGTGGTCCAATCAAACGGCCATTCCTGTATTTTTCCTATGTTTTGCAATCCTCTGGTTTACAATTGTATTCCTGCCAAAATCCTGTGTTTTTTCTATTCCTCTGTTTCTTCATTCCTACGATTCAAAGTGCCCTTAGTTTGCACTAGCTTGGCCTTACAGGGACTACGCAACCACCAATCGGGTCGGATCCATCCATCTCCCCAATCCCCTGTAACACCCGTACGCCGGTAGTACGAGTTAAATAGCCGGTGCATGCATCGCTACATACTACGGTGTAGTGTACCACGGTCGCGTCGACGTGCCGGAGTTCATCGCCGGACATGGCGACCGCCGTCGTACCCGGGATTTGCCACGCGGTGGCGTTGATGTGGCTTCTTCTCGTGTTGTTTTGCTGGGCGCCGGGGTTGACGTCGGCGGCCGATACGGCGGCGTACATTGTGCACATGGACAAGTCGGCCATGCCGAGGGCGTTCGCCAGCCAGGCGAGCTGGTACGAGTCCACCCTCGCCGCGGCGGCGCCCGGGGCCGACATGTTCTACGTGTACGACAACGCCATGCACGGCTTCGCGGCGCGGGTGACCGCGGACGAGCTGGAGAAGCTGAGGGGGTCCAGGGGCTTCGTGTCGTGCTACCCCGACGACGCGAGGGCGGTGAGGCGTGACACGACGCACACGCCGGAGTTCCTCGGCGTCAGCGCGTCGTCGGGCGGGCTGTGGGAGGCGTCGGAGTACGGCGAGGACGTCATCGTCGGCGTGGTGGACACGGGCGTGTGGCCCGAGAGCGCGAGCTTCCGCGACGACGGGCTCCCGCCGGTGCCGGCACGGTGGAAGGGCTACTGCGAGTCCGGCACGGCGTTCGACGCCGGGAAGGTGTGCAACCGGAAGCTCGTCGGCGCGCGCAAGTTCAACAAGGGGCTCGTCGCGGCGACCAACCTGACCATCGCCGTCAACTCCCCGCGCGACACCGACGGGCACGGCACGCACACGTCGTCCACGGCCGCGGGCTCGCCCGTGGCGGGCGCGTCGTTCTTCGGCTACGCGCCCGGCACCGCGCGCGGCATGGCGCCCCGCGCCAGGGTGGCCATGTACAAGGCCCTGTGGGACGAAGGCACGTACCCGTCCGACATACTCGCCGCCATAGACCAGGCCATCGCCGACGGCGTCGACGTCCTCTCCCTCTCCCTTGGCCTGAACGACGTCCCGTTCTACCGAGACCCCATCGCCATCGGCGCCTTCGCGGCGATGCAGCGCGGCGTGTTCGTGTCAACCTCGGCCGGTAACGACGGCCCCGACCCCGGCTTCCTCCACAACGGCACGCCGTGGACGCTCACCGTCGCGTCGGGCACGGGCGACCGGGAGTTCGCCGGCATCGTCAGGCTCGGCGACGGCACGACCGTCATTGGCCAGTCAATGTACCCAGGCAGCCCGAGCACCATCGCGAGCTCCGGGTTCGTCTTCCTCGGCGCGTGCGACAACGACACGGCGCTCGCGAGAAACCGCGACAAGGTCGTGCTCTGCGACGCCACGGACTCCCTCAGCGCCGCCATTTTCGCGGTGCAGGTCGCCAAGGCGCGCGCCGGGCTGTTCCTCTCCAACGACTCGTTCAGGGAGCTCTCCGAGCACTTCACCTTCCCCGGCGTGATACTGAGCCCGCAGGATGCCCCCGCGCTGCTGCAGTACATCAAGAGGAGCCGCGCGCCCAGGGCGTCGATCAAGTTCGGGGTGACCATCCTGGGCACCAAGCCGGCGCCGGTGGTGGCGACGTACTCGTCGCGCGGCCCGTCGGCGAGCTGCCCGACGGTGCTCAAACCCGACGTGCTCGCGCCGGGCTCTCTCATCCTCGCCTCGTGGCCGGAGAACGTCAGCGTCTCCACCGTTGGGAGCCAGCAGCTGTACAGCCGCTTCAACGTCATCTCCGGCACGTCCATGTCGTGCCCGCACGCGTCCGGGGTGGCGGCGCTGATCAAGGCCGTGCACCCGGAGTGGAGCCCCGCCGCGGTGCGGTCGGCGATGATGACGACGGCGAGCGCGGTGGACAACACCAACGCGCCCATCAAGGACATGGGGCGGGCCAACCGCGGCGCGACGCCGCTGGCGATGGGCTCGGGACACATCGACCCCAACCGCGCCGTGGACCCGGGCCTCGTCTACGACGCCGGGGCCGACGACTACGTCAAGCTCATGTGCGCCATGAACTACACGGCGGCGCAGATCAAGACCGTGGCGCAGTCGCCGTCCTCCGCCGTGGACTGCGCCGGCGCGACCCTGGACCTCAACTACCCGTCGTTCATCGCGTTCTTCGACCCCGGCGCCACCGCCCCGGCCGCGAGGACGTTCACCAGGGCGGTGACCAACGTCGGCGACGCGCCGGCGAGCTACAGCGCCAAGGTGAAGGGCCTGGGCGGGCTGACGGTGAGCGTCTCGCCGGAGAGGCTGGTCTTCGGCCGCAAGCACGAGACGCAGAAGTACACGGTGGTGATCCGCGGGCAGATGAAGAACAAGACCGACGAGGTGCTCCATGGGTCGCTGACGTGGGTCGACGACGCCGGCAAGTACACGGTGAGGAGCCCGATTGTGGCGACGACGGCGAGCTCGGCTCCGCTATAGGACACCTGCACAGTGACTAGATTACGCTCTCATTCTCATAAGTCATTTCCGTTCGACTTAAAAGGAAAACAAAAACAAATAAAAGCAACTAATACTTGTGTGTCAGCAGCAGAGCATACGATAAAACGGTTTTAGATGTTGTAACTTTTGAAATGATTTTTTCAAAAGGAAAACTTGAAATGATAATATTGGAGGTTAGCTAGATTCTTCAAGATGACAGTGTATGCAATTTATTAGTTTTTCGAAACAGTTCATTACTATTTCTTTTTTTCTTTTCTGTTTGATGATGGGAAGACAAAAAGGATAAAGCGGAGCACATTTTCCTTATCTTTTGATTCAATCATTTGTTAGGTCTGAATCGACCATATCCCGTGAGAGTCGAATAATTAGGAGTGGCACAAAGATGGTCTGTAGGTATGCCAATGGATCCAAGCAATCCGCTGTTGATACTGTTCATCATGGAGTTCTTCTGGATCCCAATTCCAATATAAGTAGTGGAGCATCTGCCCTTGCCCTGTCATAGACCATAGGCAAGTAATTCATGCATATTTTGTTGTCAGCAATATGGGTACCCATTACATTTAGAAGTTTGCTGAAACAATATTTTTCTCAAGCAGATATAAGATGTTTACGTTAAACAATTTACACATAGGAAAAAGAAAAATGTGAACAGCAGGGGATTTCTTCAGATGGTCTAAAGTGTCTAACCGCCGTGGCGCCGTACACCCCTGATTGAACCAATACATCCCCTTAAAAACTGAAAAAGAATTGAAAACAATAGATGGCTTATGTGTAACAAGTTGCACTCTGTACAACTCAAGCTTGCGAACATTTTTGCAGGATTATTTTCAAAAAGCAAAGACGTCGTCCATATACATATCTGGTTGATTCAATTTTACCATCATCGGCATAAAAAGCATTTTATAGCTCAGCAGTCCTGCATTAAGCATCACCATCGAGACTAGACTATAGGAGCTACAGTACACTGTTACAAACATGGTCCAAAACTTGATTGTGGTAGGCAATGAAGCTGCACCATTGCCTTGTACCTTATTCAGATCCGGTTGCCATCAAGAACTCTCCCTCACATACTAGGTCGCCTCCAACATATGCTTTTCCTTCCATCTTTGCGATTCCAAACCTCTTCTGCAACTTGATCAGAGTCATCCTTATAATCAAGGTGTCTCCAGCAATCACAGGCTTACGAAATCTCACTTTATCAATCCCTGCAAAAAAGAAGTTCTCTCGAGATCCACCAACTTCAGGTTGCAACATAACCAGACCTCCAACCTGGGCCATTGCCTGCACATCAAGGTAAAAACTATTTTGTCACTAGGCAGGGAGTTGTCTTGCTGATGCTAGACCAGAGGAAATACCTAAGATCGAGCACGCATGTTCTCATCAAACAGAAAGAAAAGGAAAAGTTACACCTACGCCTCAAGGAGGACACCAAACAATAGCATCAAATACCAGATTATTTTGAAATCCTTTTATAGCCTTTATAATTCAATGCATCAAGAAGCTTGCAGATCATTAGGTCATGATTGCTATCTATGTAGCATAAACGTATAAGCCTAAGATACTTATGTGTGTTGCTACCACCTAGCACTACCAGTTATAACTACAATAATCAAGGACAGTTCACTCAGTTCATCACCCCAATAGTTCGTTAACTCTTCAGGCACTCAACCCATTGTGCCAAGTTAAATAAGAATGCTTATTTTTTTAGTTTAATTATGACAACATTATGTTCAGTAGTAAAGAAAATGAGCAAGGAAAACCTGTCATGCTGAAACAAGGCCAAATGATTATAATTTCAAGGGAAGCACCAGTAAAGTAACCACAACTTAGAAATTGTTAAATGTAAATTAAGCAACATATGAACACAAACGTACTGGCAAACAAAATCAATGTATACCTCCACCATAAGAACACCAGGCATTATAGGTCTCTCCGGAAAATGCCCTGGGAAGAAGTTATCATTTATTGTAACATTCTTGATCCCAACAGCATATTCCCCTGGCTTGTAATCAATCACTCTATCAACCAGAAGGAATGGAAACCTACATGCACACCCACAAAAACATACTAGTTAACAGAAGAAACTTAAGTATGCTTGATCAAATAAACATGTGATAGCAAATCCATAACCCAAAAAAAAACTATTTTCCCCTTCGTTGACAATGCCATGCTGTTTGGTTATTAGCATTCTGCAAGGTTTTACAGCACATATAAAACCGCTCTTTTTTCAGAAAAGAAAGAAGAACAACACTTCTTCTCATTCCCCTCTCTTCTTTTTTTGGAAGTGATGCTATTTTTATGTTCATTATGACCAAGTCTTATAGCTAGAGAAACTCGGGTCAATGTACACACTCCAGAAGATCACCTTTCCAAAGCGGCACACGGCATATAACTGATGTAACTAATGGATCTTGTAGAGCACTAATCAGAATCTGTTTCGTACAATCGCATCAGAAGTTTCCTTCAGTCAAACGCACTAGCAGTCTAGCACCCCGTGAATTGCTTGATTAAATGCCACAATCCACACGTATATAACTAATAAGGAATTGGCTCAATGTTCCATGATCAATCCAATCGAAGCTATGCACATAATCATGCTTAAACAAACAACCTGAATAACAAAAGAAAGAATAGAGTAACCCAAAGAAAACCATTTACCTGTGCGGCAAGATATCGCGGATTTGGTTGATGTCCATCACAGCCGGGAAGGGAGGAAACCCTGAACCACCAGAGAGATCACCACCCCAGAAACACACGGAACCAGTCCAGTGACCCAAACAATTAATTCCAATAGCAATACAAACAAACAAGAGTTCAACAAGGGCGAAGAAGGTACCGACTCTTCTCTATGGGCATCTCGCCCTCGCCCCCGTGGCCGGCGGCGGCGGCGCACCGGGCCACGACCGGCCTGGCGGCCGGGGCCGAGAGAGCCGCCGGCGCGGGGCGGGGCAGGAGGGGAAGGCGGGAGGGGAGGACACGGGCGGAGGGGAGGGAGCAGCACGGAGATCTTGGCATCGCCGCGGTCTCCATTGGCGCCCGCGCCCGTTTGGGCTGTTGCTGCGGAGAAGGGGAGGAGGAGGAGGACGAGCAGAGTGGAAGCGTGGCGAAGGGGAACGAGGTGGCCAGGTGGAGAGAGGGGTTTTAGTGGAGCTTTGGGATCTCAGCCAAGGTTTGACCTATACCCTCTTGGTCGGCAAAAATCCTCGAATTCAAATCTTGGTGGCTAAACAAACGTATGAATAATTTTAAAAATGGGGTAAATTGATTAATAAGATTTTAAAAGGATGTATTTAGAGAGATTTTCTTCCGTCCGGTAGATTGTACTGGTAGGTACTAGCACCGGGAGGTACAAAATCAAATCTGGCCGTCCATCTTTAGGGGGTACGATTGGGAAATAAGAAAGAGAAGCGGAATGATCTCCGGAATCGCGCCACCGCTTTCCTCCCTAGGCGGCGCTCTTTCTTTCCTCCCTCCTCACCGCTTCTTTCTCATCTATTCCTCCCTCCGAGCGCAGAAACGGAACGGCATAGTCGCGCCACATGCCCACATCCATGCCCCGCCATCGCCGCCTCCCACGAATCAGACACCACCACCTCCCACGAATCAGCCGTCGCTGCCGCCAGCGGACCACTTCGCACGCCACCTCCTACGGATTAGCCACTGCCGCCACCTCCCACGTATTAGAGGGGAATTGAGATTGAGATTGCAAAAACCCTAGTTCCACCACTCAAAACGCATACTCCCTACGCGAAAAAACAACATTACCTTTCCACCACTCTAAGTATTCCGGTACCAGCTCATGGGCAAATATGTACGTGGAGGTACCTTATAATTTCCACCATCTGATCGAGCTGAATGAATAGCTGAGATTTGGTACCGGGCTAGTACCGTGGTACCTGATGGACGGGAGCAATGCTCGTATTTAGAACGAGCCTATATAAACTAACCCAGGTTCAAAATTTTGGACTTTAGCAGCAACACAAATCACTGGTAGAGAAAGGCTTTTTTACTACCGGTTTGTAAACATCTGTAGTCCCGGTTTTCCAACCGGGACTACGAATCCGGGACTAAAGATCGATTTTTAGTCCCGGTTGGTAACGCCATTTTTAGTCCCGGTTGGTGTTACCAACCGGGACTAAAGATGAAGTCAGATCCGGTTGGTAGTTTCTCTTTTCTTGTATTGTTTTCTACTTTGAATATTGATTTCACCACATCCCCCAGAATCACAGAACAAAACATCATCTCCAAATCTCAAATCGATCAATTACAAATCCACCATCTTCAAATACAAACATCACAAATACATCACATATTCACATCGCACACAGATCAAATACATCACAAATTCTCAAAAGCAAATTCATCACAAATCCGAAAAAAAAACAAATCCTCCACTGCCGCCGTCGCCTGCCCGCCGCCCTCCGCCAGGCCGCAGCCCAGCCGCCGCCGCGGCCGCTTCTTCCGCACGCCGTCGCCTGCTCCGCCACAACCGCAGCCCAACCACCGCCTGGCCGCCGCCCTCCACCGGGCCGCAGCCCAGCCGCCGCGCGGCCGCCCGGCCCCCACCGCGGCCGCTTCTACCGCACGCCACCGCATGCGCCGCCGTGGCCGCATCCACCGTCCACTGCGCGCGGCCGCGCCTGCGTCGGGGAGGGAGCCGCGCACCGCGCCTGCAGGGGAGGGGGAAGAGAGGTGAAGGGGAGGAAGGGGGAAGAGAAGGAGGAGATGAGAAGTTGAGAAGGAGATTGGAGAAAATAAGAAGGGAGAGGAGGAGAGATGAGAGGGTAAGGCTGTGCGCGCGAGAGGATCGAGGAGGCGCGGCGCTTGCTCTGCGATTTTTTTTTCGTTTTCTTTTTTTCTCCCGGTTGTTATAAGGAACCAGGATTAAAAATGGATCTTTAGTCCCGGTTGATAACACCAACCGGGGCTAAAGATAATAGAGGGGTCTGACACAGCCTGTCTTCTTTTAAACCGGGACTAAAAAAGTAAAAAGTGACGTCAGCTCTTTCAACCGGGACTAAAGATGATCTTTAGTCCCGGTTGAAATTCAAACCGGGATTATTGTGGATTTTAGTCAATCGACCAAAGATGGTTTCTCTAGTAGTGAATCTCCCCAGAAATTTTCAGATTTATATGAATTTGATAAAAATTTATTTGAATTTAGTAAAAAATATGTTAAAAGTTTAAATGACTTTGGCTAAAAAACGAAATTCATGATATTTCGGCAACCTGAACTAACCCAACTAATTATGGACAGATACCAACTTTTCTCTATTTTTTGTTAAAATATTTAAAAAATATTTTTGTTACATCTCTACTATTTAAAAAACCAGTAGTGGTGGTGGTGAGTCCTAACGATCCAACGTCGAGTATTTTCCTAGGATCCTCCCCGCAGGATCGACGCTCCAGGTTGCCCCAACCATCTGCGCTCGCATCGCGCCGGAATATGAGCCGCCAGATTGTCTAATCCAATGGCTCATATCGCTTCCGCCTCTCTCCCATCTTCCTCTCGACCACTGCCTCGATCCCCTCCGTATCAACCGCCGCCGCCGCCGATCCGTCGTCCTAGCGTCGCCTTCATCCTCCTTCCTCCCCATCCCCAAGCGCCCGCATCCCTCTCCCCCTGCCGACGGCTGCTCCACATCGGCGCCCAAACCCTAACCTCGCCACCAGCCGATCTGCCACATACGCCGCCACAAATCGCCACTGCCACCGATTCCTCCAGATCAGGCACCGCCGCTATCATCGCCCTACCGCCGTCGTCGCCGTCCCGCTGGCCGCTGCTCGCGCCCCTCCGCTCATCCTTTCCCCTCCCCCCACCACCGGCGAAACCCTAGAACCACGCCAGTCAGGACGGAATCGAATCCGATCCCCATCTCGCGAGTCGTGAGCAGAGCAGGGGAGGTGAGGGGCATCGTCGTTCCATCGCGTCGCATCGCCCCATTCGACGCCGCCGAGATCGCCGTCACCCGAATCCTGCGACGCCGCCGAGATCGCCGTCACCCGAATCCTGCGACGCCGCCGGACCCTTCTCACGTCATCGTCCCCTTCCGCCGCCGCCGCGCACTGAACCAGAGGCGAGGTCTTCCCCAGCCACCGCCGGAGCTTCCCCATCCGCCGCGGCCGGAGTCGACGTCGTCCCCATCCGCCGCCGCTGGAGGCGAGGTCTTCCCCATCCGTCCCCAGTCTCGGCCGGAGCCGATGTCGTCCCCATCCGCTGCCGCCGAAGACGAGGTCTTCCCCATCCGCAGCCGCCGCCACAGTCCACCGCTACCCACGAGGTCGTCCCCTTCCGCCGCCGTCGCGCACTGAACCGGAGGTGAGGTCTTCCCCATTTGCTGCCGCCTCCGCCGCACTCATCGCCTGTCTTCATCGTGCGCATCCCTGCCGTGCGCCATGTTTAGTTGTCTTCACCCTCGACGCCCCGGAGCCGGACGCCCACTGCCCACCTCCACGCCACCGGACAACCTCCATCCCTGCCGTCCTCCTCTCCATCGTGTGCAACTTCTTCGTTATCTACACGCCCGAGGAGAGATGACTCCTACCGCGGAGGTTGATGCACACCCGCCTTCTTTCTGTTGTGCCAGTATTCTCATCGATGAATGATTTTACCACACAACAGCAAAGCTGTTGCCATCTGCCGGCATTATCTCAGGTTTGCTTTTCCGCATCCTTCTCTCCTTATCAATTTCTTTATGTGCCCCTTGTCAGATTGCATTTACTTTCTCCTTCTCCTTTCTGCTATCAAATAGGATCAATGAATTGTTCCGTGAATGCTGATCATATTATGAGAATTTTCCCCTAGCTAAAAATAAATTAATGGAATCTGTAGCAATATGCTATATGTTAATCTTGAATTTGTGATAATGTCAACATTCAACCTTTCGACTATGACCCTATGTCACACTGATTCATTGTCTTATCCGTTGATTTCCAAATTTGCTTGATCGATACATGTTAGAATGCAATTCCAATAGATATGAAAATAACAAAATTGATAAAATGTTTGATTATGCTATGAAAATTATATAAAATGAAAAGCTCAATTTTTATGTAAATCATTGATTCTGGGTACTTAATCAACTACAAAAGGCATTGCCCCAAATCCCAAATTTCATAATTTTATCAGTTGGTCATTTTTGCTTTTGATCCTTTCACACGATGACAGTACCTCTGAGGTATTGTTTCACCTTCACCCTGAATTTACATGACAAATCCTAAATGAAATTATAAATGCAGCTCTCAATTTGGTTTACCTTTCACCCTGAATTTGCAAGATTCAAGTGCAGGAGCTGAAAATTTCTCTTTCAGGGACCAAGAAGAATACAAACTTAACAGTTAGGTATAATCATAAGATTATATAGTGTGTTTCATTTTGTTATCATTAAACTGATCCACATGGTGTTCAAGTGATTACACAAGTGTATAGATTGTTTTAAAAGTTGGGTTCGATAGATATGTAGAATTCCATGCCGCCATCGCTGAAGCCGCGCAGGCAAGCCTCAATGTCTGCACCTAGGCCTTCAGCGGGTGCAGCTACTGTGTGCTGCGGATGGTACCCTTCCATTACAGTGAGGAGGTCTTCCAGATCAGCTATCACGGTGGTTCCTTGGTGTGCCCATGGGCAGCACACCAACTGTTTGATGAAATGCATGATCGAGGTGCACTCCTGTTACTGTTTTAATCCTTATTATTATCTCATATTTACTCTATTTTTCACTGTATGTTGTGATTTGAAGCTCTGCCTATGTAAACTAAAATTGAATTGTTCCTTGGTCTCGAATACTTCATATGGTGCAGACAAATATTTCATTTTTGCAGGGTAGAACACCCTATTATTTTAGTGTATATATTTACTATGAGATACTTCACTTTTTAATGACTATTGGAGTCACGTCAGTATGTTAATAGTGATATAGATATGCTAACCTGTCCAATTTTACCTGATATTCCCAACACAATAGCTTTGTTTCTTGACTGAGATTTATTTGTCTCCTGTTTCTATTGCAGTTAAAAGTTTGCAGATAAATTCATATTTCGTAATCGATCAGCAAGCCTGGACAGTGTTCCAAGGGACATGTGGACTCGGCTGCAGTATATCTATTTGTTTGATCTTTAGTTGCATATAAAATCCTTTTGAGATTTATTTATTTTAACCCAGAAAAAAAAGGAGATTTATTTATTTTAAGATATGTCCCTTTATTGTTCAACTGCAACTGATTTGGAAGTCCATACATAACAAGATGTAACAGATGGGCCATTAAGAACTCTCTGAGTCCGTTCTATCAAATATAAAGTAAGGTGACTTGCCCTTCCCAGTATTACCTTATTACTGTTATTTGCCTTCTTTTATTTGATAAAAAGGTCATGTGAATCATGGAGTGGAATATTAAAAAGCCACTGCATATAGCATTGCTTTATCTGGATGAGTTATCATCAAGCATCATCATCATCCTGATATTTCTAATCAGCGTTGCACATCTATTTTATCAAGCTCCTCTGTTACTTTCTAGCTACATGAAGTGGAGTTACTAATATATTGCTCTATGAAGTGAAAGTTTCTTTCTGCTCAAAAAACTACTCCTATAATACAATGCCTAAATATGCCAATTTTCTACCACTACTGAATCTGAAGTTTAACTAATGTGCTTCATTTCCATGTTAGCCTTTATATGGTTAGCCCACCAGTATTAAGATTAACAAATTGCTTGTTATATTTGTGAGAACTGAAACCGCTTCTTTTGAAATGGGCTCTAATTGTTGAAGTCTATTTTTTTTTCATGTTTTTTCATGGTTTGAGATGAATTCTTAACTGACCAGGAAACAAAATATTGATATCTTTGGAATTACTTGCTTTGATTTTTAAATACATTTTGTCTTGTAACTTTATTTGTTTTTTGTTAGTGTTGAACGATTGCAAACGAATGGTGCATCACTTGCTGGTCAAGTTCCTCAGGAGTATAACTTTGTCATGTTTCCGAAATTGTATCAGGATTAGCTATGAATTGGTCTTTGCTCTTGTGATTATTGTAGAGTTACACTTCAAGCTCGTGGATGCCGCTGGTCCATATTCTGTGATTAACAACATGATTAAAAAAAGTAAGGTTACTTCGATTATGTACTGCTGCTTGAACTTCATTTACTATAGGTTTACAGGTACCTGTGGATTGAGAGGGTCACTGGGTCATCTTTTGAAGTTGGTTTGGATGACCTGAAGCTATCAGGTAGATTGTGGTGTTCTTTTCCTCAATTATGTAGAGGGGAGTTCTTTTTCTGGTATTGGAGTTCTTATGAAAGCCACTGAAAGACAATCTTTACATTTTGTAACGTATTATTACATTTCTCAATACATTTTGTAAATTTCAGTATATTTCACTGAAATACAATCCTTACATTTCGTAACGTGTTATTACATTTCTCAATACATTTCGTAAATTTTAAGTGTATTTACATGTTTTCTATGATGTATTATAGGAATACATCTATTTCACATGCAGGATTCCAAATGATATATTACTACGATGGATTCCAAATGTCCAACATGCTATATAATTTATTGACAATAATGATTCTCTATTATTTCTTTTTGTGTGAATTTAAATTATCTTATTATCATTGCTTCCTAAAACATATACAATATAGTTCTTTGATTTGTATATAATTTGTATATAAAATATCGCCACTTATATTCTGTCTTGAAGGGAACAATGATCAGATTCTTCAGAAGAAGACTCTTCGAGGATAGCATCATTGGAACCTGCTAAGCACTTTTACATCCTTGACTTCAAAGACTGGTTCCGCCGACATACCAACTCGATTTGATTTTTGCTCTAATTTGCTCAATGTGGTTGAGTTGTATTGTTCTTCTGGAGTTTTTTTTTTTTCATTCGATCTGTGTTGTGCTCTTTCTATCTACTGGTCAGACCGAACGCCTAGTGCAAGATGAGCTGCATCACTTGCTATGGCGGGCCTGATGGTTGCATCACCTGGTGACATGTTTATGCCTGCAATTTAATGTAATAGTTCTCTATCTTTTTTTTTGTTATTTGGACATATGTTATCTTCAAATATGTATTAAAGTGATTGGGTATAATGGTTGATGCTCTTGAATTGCACTTTGCCTTAAATATATTTTTATGTAACCTGTATCGAATTAACACCAAATTTGACCGATTCTAGGATACTTAATTTTATTTTAATGAAATTTAATGATTTATTAACCAAAATATTATGCCACCGTGGCGTAGCACGGGCATATTACTAGTAATTTTAGAAATTCATACCTAACGCGCTCATAAAGAATATTTTTTATAAGGTGGCAGATGACCGTTAGCACATACTAATGATCATCTATTCATCTGTCGGGTGGTTCAACGGGTGGTCATTTTATAGGCGGCCCTTTTTAGCCTTGTAGGGCCGTCTGCCAAATAGCTAGCCCGATCAGACGGCTATTAGCATACACCAAGACTGTGTATGTCATAAAAAAATCATATGAGAGAAGGGTGTTAGGTGTGTAGAAATGTAAAATTTTGGAACCAAAATATATATTTTACAAATGCTTTATTAAAAAATAAAAGAAAATTAGAAAATCTACAGGACGGCCTCCCGTTGCGGTTACGGGATATATTTAGTACAAATTACTCTACCCCAACCGTTACGCTATACTGTTTGTTTCTTCTCTCCTCTCCCCCACTTCAACCTCTTCACTGTCATCCACTCCTCTCCTCATTCTTCCTCCTCGTTGCTCTCCAGCCTATTCTGCCGGCTGCTGCCTTCCCCCACCACCCCTCGCCAACGGCGCTCCGCTGACGGCGACACCTGAACAGATTCCTCTCTCGGAACCCTCCTCTCACTATTGGTATGGCCACGAATCTGCCCCTATTTTTCCTCTCGATTTAGCTGACGATTTTCTTGCGCAAAGGCACCATCTGCTATGCAGAGTTTCAATTTGTATCTTCCCATCCCTATTTCTTCACATTCCCTTATTTTCATGGTGTCAATTTCTATCTGCATTTGTGTTCTATATACCATAGTCGATCATCCCTGACTTTTTTTTTAAATTTTCCGTTTCTCCTTTTCTTGCTTTGTTTTTTCCTTGAGCGAGACACTTTGAGATTTAGTATGAGTCATGTAAATTATATTGATACAATGATATTATGTAACATAGATTATATTTTTCTCTCTTTTTAACTGCTGTTCGTGTTCTTCTCTGCCGCCATGCTAATACGAACTGATACCAGTATGGTACCAGTTGCATGGTACTTGATACCTGTGACAGCTGGTACCCGATACTTATGATACCTGGCATCTGGTACCTGTGATACCTGGTACCCGATATCTGTGGCACCCGGTACTTGATACTTGTGATACCTAACACTTGGTACCTGTGATACCTGGTACCTATGACACCTGGTATCTGATACTTGTGATACCTGGCATCTGATACCTGTGATACCTGATATCTGGTACCCGATACCTGTGACACCTAGTATCTGATACTTGTGATACCTGACACTTGGTACCTATGATACTTGGTACTTGGTTCTGACACCTGGTACTTGTGATATCTGGCACCTGGTACCCGGTACCTGGTATAGCATGGTGTATAAATTAATCACACATTAAAATTGTCCCGTGACTTCACTTTTCCACGGTATCCCGTGAGCTAGCTGCCCTCAAGAAAATCGACAGATGTCTTTCTTGTAGGCCCATTTAGCAAACCAGGCCCACCAAGCCCCACTAGTAGTTCATTCTAAGACCCGCAGGTTCCAGAATTTTTCTGATCTCAATTCCGACCTTTCTAGAACTAGAACAGAGCGAACTCTAATTCTTCCCCTTCTCCCCCGCTACAAAACCGCCCAAACCCCAGATCAAACCAGGTGCGTTTGCAGAGCAAAACCACCACCAATCACTGCCTCCGATCCGACTGGATCAGGTAATCGAGCCGAGGGAACCCGCGAGATCGGATTCTGACGATGTTCTTCTTCTTCGTGGGGGGCGTGGAGCAGGGCGCGGGGCGGGTGCTGAAGGAGGCGGCGCGGCGGTGCCTCCGCTGCGGCGGCGCGGCCGACCTGGTGGAGACCGAGAAGGTGCTCAAGCTCTTCTTCGTCCCCGTCAAGCGGTGGCCCGGGAAGGACCCCGCCTACCTCTGCCGCGAGTGCGGCCTCCTCGGGCCTGGATCCCTCGGCGGCGGCGGCGGCGAGGCCGGGACGGGGCCGCCGCTCCTCCCCCGCGACGCGCGGTGCGGCGCGTGCAACCGCGCCGTCGCCGACCCGCAGTTCCGGTTCTGCCCCTTCTGCGGCTCCGCGCTGTGATCCCGACCGACGCAGCCGGCGATGGATTTCTCTTTGACGGTATGACTCCTTGCTTTTTATTTCTAGCAGTAAGCATTTTGGTTGCGTGATGAGTGTAGATGTAAAACGAGCTCCTTGTAAACTACTGACAAGAAGATTAGCAAAATAAGTAATCAAGTGAAGTCTACTCGCGCATCATATGTTTATGTCGTTAATCATCACATTGCTTGACGATGCCTGCAGCGGTGCAGCCTGCTCATGTTTCTGGCATCAATGCATTGTCCATATTACGCATGTAATTGTCAGGTAAATCTTAAATGTCTTACTAGTACTGTATAACAGTATAACTTTACCATTTGCACTGATACAGTCTGAAATACAAGTAACATGTTTTACATTACATTTGCAAATTACTCTCTACATGGATGGTACTACCGGTATTCTTACTGAAGAACAACAACAACAGATTTACACGTTGGTACTTGGTAGTAGGAAAAGAATCAATTAAAACTACAAAACATTCACACATTTTTTACCACGGAACCGGACTCAGACGACCAAATCAAGAGATGGACCTCGGCATTGCGGGTTGGTTTGGTTTGTGGCCTAAATAGGCCTTACGAGTTGGTTTGGTTTGAGGCCTATATTGGCCTTACCAATATTTGGCAATTTCAATAGTGTTTATTGTCTATTTAGTTTTTGGAGCCAAATTTTGGCATGCATAAGAAAATAGGCCATTTTAATAGTTAATTTAGGCTATTTTGGCTTCAATCCAAACACAATTTTACCTTTGCCAAAATTAGCCATGCCAAAAGTTGCCAAAATTTAACATTGACAAAAATTGGTAAGGCCAATTTAGGCCACAAACCAAACCAACCCTACCAAATTTTGTCAATGCCAAATTTTGACAAGTTTTGGCATAACTAATTTTGGTATGGCAAAGTTGTGTTTGGATTGAAGCTAAAACAGCCTAAGTTCACTATTGAAATGGCCTATTTTTTTAGGCATATCAAAATTTGGCTTCAAACCAAATAGATACTAAACATTATTAAAATTGCCAAATATTGGTAAGCCTAATTTAGGCCTCAAACCAAACCAGCCCTGCAAAACCTGGACGGGGCCACTGGGCGGGGCCACGGACGCTTCTACACTTGGCCATAACCTTTGGTAGGAGGGTACAGCGCGCTCGGCCCATATACTTGATCAGCCGCAGCAGTGAACTGCTGGTTAGGCGCATATCCTTGCGGCGGATATCCCGTCACAACCGGTGCGGCGGGGGCCTGCTGCGGCTGCGGCTGCTGGCCGTCGGGCTTAGGCTCGACCGCCGCGGCGACGCGAAGCATGATGTAGGACTTGATCCCGAACACGGCGGCGGCGAGGCTCAGCACGGCCGCCCTCCTGAAGACGCCGTCCTTGAGGTAGTAGCACAGCGGCGCCGTGTCGCGCGTCACCGGCGCGTTCCACGCCGCGCCTTGCACGAAGGACACACCCGCGACGATCGCCGCGATCCTGTACACGAATATTTTGTGGGGGAAGATCAGATTTGCATGCGCCTCAACATTGAACTGTCGATTGACAAAGAGACCCGAAGGCCGAAGGTACACACGGTTGTTGGCGAGAGGGTGCAATTACGTACGAACTCGTGGAACTCACCATGAGAAGACAGAGCAGACAATGCCGGTGACACGCCTGGACTCGGAAGCGCCGGCACGAGGCCTGCAGCATCCGCAGCAGCCGGCGACGGAGGAGACGATGATCTGTGCCACCGCCAGCAGGAGCACCGCGCATATCCCCAGCACGAAGGCGGCGTTCGCCGGGTACTCGCACTCGCCGCTCGACACGTCGATGTCTTCGGGCTGCAACAACGAAAAAAATTGCTCATCCACAGATCACAGAATTCGCAACACTAGTGCAGCGGAGAATCAAGATAGATGTGAGCCATGTGATGTGACAGTGTAGCATAGTAGAAATCGCTGTGCTTGTTACGGTGAGTTTTTTCTCCTCGGCGATGAACCCCAGGACGGCGCTCGCCACCGCGAACAATCCTACCACGGCGGACACGACGAACACTCCCGTTTCCATCTCTCTTCAAATGCTGAAATGCCTATGTCTCTCCCTGTCGTGTCGTCTTCTCTCTAGCCTCTAGCTTTGCTCTGAGATGAGAAGCGATGCTGCCATACACAGTATTTATACTGAGCGTCTCGTGCTGAAGCTATTATTTCTATGATCATTTTATTCTGAATTTGTGCTAGCTAATACCTGTGCAGACGTGCAGTTGGTCTGTTTCGATGATTGCGTTGACCCTAGAAAACATAAGATTCATGAGACAGCTAGTAGTAGCATTCTGAATGCTAGCTAGCCAGCTCGTTAACGCTGCCATCTGGCATCTGCCGGCGCGATGATCGCTCGAGTTCTATAAGCATGCTGCCTAATTAACCTAGGACAAACATAAACATTATGAGCTGAAAAAGACACGCAGATATAAACGCATGAACTATTTCTTTGGACAAAAAAAAAGAAGCAAACTGGGGACAAGCCTGATAACATAAATAACTGCTAGAACTGAACAGCATGGTGTTTATCTTATACCAACTTGAGTTGACACTGACGAGGTGACAACTACTGGTTAATCATGATCTGATTGCTTGGATAATATAGTGATATAGTTTATCAGTTTAAAATTATTCCCCGCAATTCCTGCCCATGTTCTTGAAGAAACTGACCACAAAGAACATCAGTTGGAAACTTGGAATGTGCAGGTAGCTAGAGCATCGCCTGCCGTTGAGTCAAAGTCAGCTCGAAACTCAAGACGTGCATCCGTCAACTCTGAGGCTGTATATAGGCGAGGATGGATTCTAATCTTGCCCGTTCGTCCGTTTCTTCCACGTAACTAAATGGTTATATTTTTTTTAAAAAGTAATAGGATAGATTAATACATAATATATCACTCTACAAACACTTAAACTTAAATTTAAATTTCTATAAGTTATAATAAAAACAATAAATTAAACTTTAATTAGTATATATATTTACAGACAATTTGTTTTTTTTATAATTTATAAAAGTTGAATTTAAACTTGTATGTTTGTGGAGTGATATATTACATACTACTAATCTATCTTGTTATTTTTTAAAAAATGTATTTTATAACTATATATTTAACATGTAAAAGATAGGTGAACGTCTACCGAGTGCTAAAAAGGGGTCCGAATGTTTGCAGTTGCAGAGCGTCCTGATTAGCCGGCGGCTTCCTCGACAATCATCTGGGGAAGTCAGTCAATTAGTGCCTGATCAGAGAGACGCTTTGCATAATGAACACAAAGAACAAAATGGTCATCTCTAATGGTTAAACGATCTGTTTAAGAAAAAAGGTCAGTGCTTCGGAGATCTGTTATATTCTATCACTGCCTGTTCACTTAGTGCCAAATTTGAACCGGCATAATACTGCTCATAGTTTTTTTTTTAGGAAAAGGGATTATATTACCCAACTAAAGAGTCTTCACAAACAAAATGTGAGATGAAATTAGATTTATCATCCGGCCAAAACTCAATAAGAGCGAAATGGCCTATAATCTAGTGGTTACAAAAGTCTTAGTAACACCTTAGATCTTAAGTTTGACTTCCTGTATAAACGAATTTTTCAGGATTTAATACTGCAGAGTATCCTCACTCGTCTCATGGAGGCACGGGAGGTTGAGCGGGATCCTGACAACAACGACACCCTCGACCGGAGCAACTACTGTTGGATCTGGCGGCATGGGCCTCGAGCCCTCTGGACACATATAGCCACGATTGCCTCAGGTGCCTGGATGATGAGTTGATCTGTAGGCATATGGTACTACTTGTTCTTTAATTTAATTTGTTCTTGAATGTTCTTAAATTTGTGATAATCAATTCGGCTGTGATCCCTCATGTTTTTTCCTTCTATTTTTCTTGCAAAGTTGATTTGGCATACGATTTACTTGCAAATGTTGCAAATGTGTGTAAACATATGAATTGGGCATCAATATAAATCATTTTGACTTTCTTTTTTTTTTCTGAAAATAGGTATCAGTGATTGTAGTTGAGCAACATGGCCGCCAGCCTACTGTTGGTTAAAAAACCGGCAACGTACGTACGATGCCGTTTTTGAACTGTTAGTGATGGCCTTCTGTTTGTTGATATATAGTGTGATCACGGTTGACTCACGTGATCTTCTGTAACATAACCCCAAACGAAAACCATACAACGATCTATTATATTATTAAAACAGCTATGAAAGGAGACACCACGTTTGCTGTGGGGGTTAGAAATTCCCGCATTAATCGGAGAAAAAGAAAACAAGAGTCCAATTAGAAATACAATTAAAATTAGCTGAAATTCAGAATTAAAAATACGCAATATGGAAAGAGGAGTTCATATAGGAACCCAATACGTGATTAATTAAAATTCAGAATAATAATAAAATAAATATCAAAATTAGGAAAAGAAAAAAAGAAGAATTCAAGTAGGAATACAATTTATAAATAACTGAAATTCGGAGTTAAAAATAAGAAATATTAAAAGAAGAGGACATCCAAAAATCCAATACGAGATTAATTAAAATTCAGAATAAAAAATAAAAAAAATCGAAATTAGAAAAAAAAATAAGAGTTCAAGTAGGAATACAATTTAAAATTAACTTAAATTCGGAATTAAATATAAGCAATATTGAAATAAGAGTACATATAAGAACCCAATAGTAGATTACTTAAAATTCAGAATAATAAATAAATAAAAATCAGAAATTAGGCAAATTAAAAAGAGAGTTAAAGTAGGAATACAATTATGAAACAACTAAAATTGAAAATAAAAATATCAAAAGAACATAATAATAAATAAAATAAATTCTGAAATTAGAAAAAGAAAAAAAAGATTTCAACTAGGAGTAAAATTTATAAATAACTAAAATTGGTGATAAAAAAATAAGACTATTGAAAGAAAAGACCATCTAAAACACATGACAAAATTAATTAAGTAATAGGCCTATAGAGGAGCAAAGTGGTGGCGGTTGATGAGACATCTAAAAACTATTAATAAAACACCAAATAGAATCCTAATGACGATTAAAAGGAAGGACGACGGGCATGTCGTGAAGCAATCAGTCAGGGACTTCTAGAAAGTAAAAAAATAAACCCCAATGATAATCATATTTTATTTTTAAAATCTCAATTACAATAAAAAAGAGAGGCAGCGGGTGGGTCGTATAGGAGTACGATGGTAGAGCCGCCGATGGTTGGTGGGTCTTCTAGAAAGTAAAAAATGAATTCCAACGATAGTTATGTTCGATTTTTATAATCCCAATGATAATAAAGATTACGCGGCGGATATGTCGTAAAGGAGTATAGTGGCAGCGTTTGACGAGATTTCTAAAAATTATAAAAAAAACATGGAACCCAACGAGACAATAAAACTCTAAAAACTATAAGGTTCAATTTTAAAAGTTCAGGCTTCTAAAAAGTAAAAAAAATAAACCCTAATGATAATTATGTTTGATTTTAAGATCTCAATGATAATAAAGAAGGACGGCAACGGGCGAGTCGTAGAGGAGTACAGTAACAAAGTTGCTGACGTTTTGGCGGAACTTCAGGAAAGTAAAAAAAAAGAAACTTCTAGAAAGTAAAAAAATGAACCTAAAAAAGAAACCCAACAGGACAATAAACTCTATAAGTTTTTAGATCCAATTTTTAAAGGTTACAAGAAGAATGAATAGAAACAGTGGTAGATCGAGCAAGCTAATAAAAAAATAATATGACAGAAGTAAGGGGTAGCAACTGATGTGTCTTTTAAAAACTATAAAATTAGAAACACGAGGATGATAAAGTTTGGTCTTTTAAAATCTTAAGACAACGAGATAACTATTTAATAAATTTTAAGTAAAATCATATTAGAAAATATATAATTTTATATGGGTGCTAGCCGTGCAATTACGCGGGCCACCCAGCTAGTTGGATTTTAATTAAACTCTCAAAGAACATCCCTTGTTATTTGCATGTCACTCAAATACTTATAAACAAATTAAAAATAATCTAAGAAGATTTCTTAAGATGTGATATATCCTTTCACAAACATGCAAGTTAAAATTCTATCCTTTGTAAGTTGTAATAAAGAAAAAACTATAGCTAGTTAAGATGTATTCGTAGTTAAATTCTTCACGTTTGTAAAATGATATATCACATATTAATCTATTGGGTTAATCTTTTTTAAAACTTTTTTCATAACCGTTTAAGTGACATACAAATAACGATGACGATGAGATATTTCCTCAAGAGTTTAGAATGGTTTCCCAAATATTCATGAAGTGAGATGCTATTTGGAATATATACATATACGTGTATTTTACATGAGAGACTCTTTACAGCAAGTCAGCAACCGGGCATATATAATAATTATTTAAGTATATCACGCATAGGTTCACTGTCACGTACTGACTTACAGTGCTACACCTGAGCATCCCCTGGAGGAGGATGAGGAGGCAACGGCTGATCCGGCGCGTGCGATCCGACTTGAGCAGGAGCAGGAAAAGCGGCAGCGACCTGCGGCTGCGGGTTCAGTGCTCGTCCGTCCCCTCCTTGCTGTGGCGGCGCCGGCGGGGCAGAAACAGGAGGAGACAACTGGGCGGCCGGGTGGCCCATCGCGATCCCGGCCGCCGGCGTCGGCTGCTGCTCTCCCGGCTTTGGCGTCCGTACTGCCTCGTTGCGTTGCCCGCGGAGCGTGACGTAGGAGGCGATCCCGAGCGCCGTGGCGGCGAGGGCCAGCACGGCCGCGCCCGCGAAGATGCCGTCCTTGAGGACGTAGCACTAGCACACCGGCGCCGTGTCCCTCGCCACGTTGGCGTTCCACGCCGCGCCCACCACGAACAGCACCCACGCGACCCCCGCCGCTATCCTGCACGTACACGTACGGCCCCACGCGATCAGCTACGTACGCACGAGGTGATCGATATAACCAAACGGGAAGCGGATCCTCTGACTTTGGCTCCAAAGTCACGGTTGTGCAGTTAGCATTGTATCAACCGTTGAAACAATGAGACGACGACGGTGACACGGTGGCCGGCTTGTGGGATCGGCGGCCGGTTGCATCATGTACCATGAGACGACGGCGCAGACGATGCCGACGATCCGCTTGGTCTCGGACGGGATGGCGCGGGACTTGCAGCAGCCGCAGCAGCCGCCGACGGCCGTCACGGTGATCTGCGCCATCAGAAGGAAGATGGCCGCGCAGATCCCCAGCGCGAACGACGGGTTCTGTGGGTACAGGCACTCGTCGCCGATCAGCAATACGTCCGAAATCTGCAACAAATCATTCCCCGTTTGTCACGCATGCTCACTGGAGTCACTAATCACTAATTACGCTCATCAGTCATCACATGTATATCAGAGAACGGAGATATCTAAAGAACATGCATGCATCTTAGCGCAGTATGCTCACAATGATCTTTGTGCCCTCGGCGGAGAACCCCAGGATGGCGCTCAGCACCCCCAGGGGCCCGACGATCGCCGACACGATGGCCACCGTCTTGTCCATTTTTCCCGGCCACCCTCCTCCCTCGTCTTGGTGCGTTTATATACAGAGCTTTTTAGCTAGCTCGGGCACACTACTGGAGAAGTGGGACTTTAGTTCCGGTTTGCAACCCCTTTATTCCCGGGTTGCAAACCGGGACCCCGAATCCGGTACTAAAGATGTCCAAAATAATCGGGACTAAAGATCCATGAATTGACATCACAAATTCATCTATGAATTGACATCACAAAATCATCCGCAACTTGACAGAAACATTAAAAAATCATCCACAAATTTACATCACAAAATCATCAATAAATACACAGAAACATCTAAAAATCATTCACAGAAACATCTAAAAATCATTCACAAATTTACATCACAAAATCAACCCAAAAATCAACACAAAATCATCACAAAGTCATCGATCCCCTCCGGCTTGCCCGCCACCTGCCACCTCCTCTCCGTGTGCGCCGCCGTCGGCTGCCTCCCTTCGGCGCGCCCGCTGCACGTGCGCATCCGTGCGCGCCGCCGCCCGTACCGCCGCCCTCCCTCCCTGCCTCCCGCGCGCCCCCGGCCATCTGCCGCTGCTTGCGCCGACAACGTCGAGGGGAAGAGGGATCGATGAAAGAGAGTGGACGAGAGGAGTGGAGGGAGGATTGGAGGAAGAGTGTAGAAAGAAGATAAGGAAGAGAGAGAGCGCGAGAGATGGGGATGACGCAGGAATAGAGATATTTATTCCCGATTGGTATCATCAATCAGGATTAAAGATCTATCTCCCGGTTGGTGTTACCAACCAATCTTTAGTCCCGGTTGGTGTTACTAACCGGGACTAAAGATCAAAAAATACCTATGGCTTTAAAACTGGGACTAAAAATGTTTTTACTTCCCATTCCTACTTAAACCGGGACTAATGATGTTTTTACTTCCTGTTCCTACTCGAATTGGGACTAATATTATTTTTACCTGACCCAGCAAAGATAACTTATGCAGTAGTGGCACACGCTGATCGCTGATCGCATTTCGATCGAGGCATGCGGCCGTAATTTCTCCGTGGATATCCGTTTAAGCAAGTTTGGCTGCAGCCTACAGGCACTATGGACAGCTGCGTCTTTGTTTACAGGTTTACACCGACCCTGCCGGCACGGTAACTTGTATCTATATGGCTGCATCGATAATTTGCTGCGATGTGCTTACAAACATACTAGACTGGAGCAAATATTGAGATATCGACTTGGAGCTCAATTATTTCTATTTGAACATCTACGTTCCGCCTTGGTAGTCGGCAGATCTTGACATGGTTTTTGGATGTTTGGTCCTATTAATTCCATGTTTTCTTTGGGGGTACTAATTCCATGCTATATTGTTTTCCTTAGTTCACTACTAAAGCCGTTATTGTCGCAGCTGCTACCGCCGTCGCTGCAGCCAAAGCCACCATCACCACCGTCGCTCCCGCCACTTGATGCCAGCCACCGCCATCTCCGCTCATGCTGTCCCCAGGCGGACTGAGCGGATCTGCCACTCCCGTGGCATCGTGGTAGATCCGCTTGGTATGAGGCCACCGCCACTTGCCATTCCTGAATTGGGTGGATCTGCTGCCCTCGTAAGTGCCAGCGGTGGATCCGCTTAGTCCGAGGCCGCCACTGCTGCTCCCGTCGTCCAGTCCACTGCTCATCGTCGCAACTGCCTAGCCTGAGCCTGAGGCTGGACCGAAGTGGGAGGGAGAGAGGGGAGGGGGGAAGTAGGGGAGATGAGTGGGAAATGGGAAGAGAAGAGAGGAGAGAAAAGGGGAGAGGAGAGATAAAGGGGAGGTGGGGAGGCCAGACGCGCTGAGAGAAATAAAGAGTGGACGAGGGGTTGTTGCCGAACTGCACACGGAGGAGAGAAACTCTTGCTTGTGAAAATCCATTTTTGTAGCGGGACCTCTTAAGCGAAAATAGGCTATTTACGAAAATTGATTTTTGCAGGCGGGCCTTAACCAAACCGAACATCACCCAAATATTTTTACATAGATGTTTCTTTAGCTTGTCTAAGATAAAATAAGGGATGCGGCGTGTAGTAGTGAGTCAAGATGACCGGTTGGTAGACAGGCTGAGGCACATATTGGTGGCCCAACGTATACATGCTACTAGTGTGATATCGTCGGAAAAGAAGGATTTCATGTTGGTTGTCCTAGCCAAAGCATGGTCAACCCGTCGCCGAAGCCTCCATGGCTGATGAGAACATCACCTCCTTTCAATACGCATGAGGCTAAGAGATGGAGACCCACCTCGTTATCTAGGAGCAGGCCGCATTAAAATCGTCTCCTAGCCTCATTTAGACTATGTTTTCAATGTTCTACATATGTATGAAAAGCTAACGAGAACACCTTTCCAATGGGTCTGGTCTCACGTCAAGACTCCTTATAAGTCTATGGGAATCATTTAAGCAAGAGAGCGTCCAGAATCTGCCCAGGTGCTGCGTCACCGTCTTTAGGCTCATTGGGCCGAGTATCGTGTCGGAGTCCATTAGGGACGTATCCAGGGGGTTCTAGGTCGATCCTAGAACCTATTTAATCAATAGCCGTCATTGAATTAGGGTTAGGTTTTGCTTTGATTATATATTCTGTCATTGTAGTTTCGCTGCTAAATCGTTTCATGGAATCCTAACTTGTGAGATTCATCTTAAATTCGCAATATATTCAGATTGCATCTTCTACTCTCTTACCTATGTTCTTGATTCGCTTGCAAGAGATAGTCTTATTGGCGAGGTCAACAGTTGTTTGACTCGGGTGATAACCAATGGAGGGGTGGTGTGCTAATTGCGAGTGGTTCGGTCATCCTGATTGAAGCCTTTTAATCATTAACGTCGAGTTTCCACAATCGATTTATTAGCGGAAGATCGGGACCCTAATCCTCATCAATGGCTTAGTGGGTAGCAGCCTGGCTGACACAAAAAATATGAGATATGTGTGGACGGCCTGTGATGTAAGATGTTTACAATGAATTTGACACCTTTATAGAGAGTTTAAATTTGAAAACATAATATTATATCCTTTCTAACTTTGATCATATTTTTAGCAAAATTATTTAGAGATAAAAACGAGTGTAAGAGTATCAACAGGTTTTATTCTACCACGCGGTAGGCCCGTCTAAATATACTTGGCCAAAAGGCCCGCAACCCGATGGTATGGTTCACGGCACGAAGATTTGGCCCGACCTAGGCACGACACGACCCGACTGTTATCTGGCTCGTGCCAGCCCAACCCGACCAATGGGTCATGCCTGGGCCTCTTCCTCGGCATGATAGGCCGGCCCGGCACGGTCCAGCCCAACGATTAGGGAGGCAAAATATACTTATTACAGCCATGTAAGGCACGACTCAAAGAAATAAGGGACGCAAAGTGCACTTATTTCCAACCATATAAAACACGGCCCAAGAGATGAGGGAGGTAAAATAGACTTATTCTAAGGCGAGCACGATGAGCTGCTTGTGCATTCATACCAGCACGGTACGACCCGCGCCTTATTGGGTCATGTCTAGGCTGCATTTATAGCCTGTGGGCTGACCCGGCACGACATAAAAAGTATGCCGGGCCGTGCCAGCAACCAGCCCGACATGCTTTGAGCCGTGCCCTAAAGTATGCCGGGCCGTGCCCTAGATGGGGCTGTGATCGGAAACGATTTGGTATCGTGAGATACTGATACCTCGAGATACTTTTTATTGAACTGAAGCAAACCTCGTACAAATAATTTCAGATTCCGTGGCCTGTGCAGCATGAGAAAATCAAATAAAACTTACCGGGAGATCGTCCCGCCATTGTCGACGAAAGAATCACCATCGCTAGCAGCAGCAGAATCTGGAGCAAGAAACTTGTCGTGTTCATCTTAATTAATTATAGCTAGCTAATTTAATTTGTCTAGGAAATTTGTTGTGATTCAGCTTTCAGAATAACGAAGCACAAGTGCAGGACAAAGTCGATTAGAGGAATTTTTGAAGTCCAGGGCATCGACAGAGATGGGCAAAACCACAACATGCTGCAGTTCAGTGCCATTGTGCCAATACCAGGGATGTTTCGAGTCACTTGTTTATATGATGGATGTATTTTTCAGCCGGCCAAACTCAGGGTCAACTGGTGGATTCTTTGGCTTTAATTTGTGGCGTTCGTTTTCCGTGCACTAATTAAACAGTTACGGCGACTTGGCAGCTTAACTATTTTCTTCGTTGTCATTCTAAAAAAGGGCATGTAATAGTCGGCGACTAACTGTACTACTACTCCCTTCAACCCAAATATTTAGAGTGATTATACCGTACTTAATAAGGTATCAAGAGTTTCCCCCGTAATATTTGGTAACTCCGGTATTAACAGGTACTATCAAATTTATACTAAAAATTTTTATACATCTCACTACTACATAAAGATTTTTCTGTACGAAAAGCCCTATCTTTCACACATCTTTTATGAAACTTTAGGACATATCGGGCAGAAAAATCTATATCAATTATTTTGTACTAATGAGCACTATAAATATAAGGGATTTCTTCTATAAACATAGAAGTAGTAAACAACCAAACGTACGAAGAATGCCAATGATCACATACGGGGAGTAGACAACTAAACATATGACGGGTGGCCTAATAACTATCCATCTAAGTGATATATATACCACATAGTGAATTTTTGACTGACCTGTGTACTGAATCAAGAGCGCGTTGCATTGTGGTGGATTATGACTCTACGCTGACAATGACATCAACCTGCCACTTCAAAATGCCTCTAAAAGTTGCTTTATGGAAACAGTCAAAGTATATGAGCTGAACACACCCACAGTTTACAGAGAAATTTTAGTCCAAACAAACAAAGTTGTGTCGTCACTGGTGACCAATATAACCAGGGATTGATTCTCTTCTGCATCATTTGGCTGTCTATACTTGTGAATCTGGCGGCGGCGGGAACTGCGGTTGGCCCATCGCGACCCCGGCCAGCGGCGGCTGCTTGGCCGGCGCCTCGTCGGCCTGCCTGCGGAGCATGACGTAGGACGTGATCCCGGAAGCCGTGGCAGCGAGTGCCAGCACGGCCGCGCCAGCAAAGATTCCGTCCTTGACGACGTAGCAGTCGTTGTTCACCACCGCGCCCATCCCGAACAGAAACCACGCGATCCCCGCCGCTATCCTGCATATCCGCTCCCACGCACGCTCGATCAGTTTCGGCATGAATCACGGTTCGTCGAGTATAACCACACCGTACCGGCGGTGATATCGGCGGTGACTAACCATGACATGACAGCGCAGATGACGCCGATTATCCGCTTGGTCTCCGACGGGATGGACCGGGACTTGCAGCAGCCGCAGCAGCCGCCGACGGCCGACACGGTGATCTGCGCTAACAGCAGGAAGACGGCCGCGCAGACCCCCAGCGCGGTCGCGGGGTTCTCCGGGTACAGGCACTTGCCGCCGACCAGTATATCGGTCACCTGCAACAACATCGTTGGCCGTCGTCATACACACTGATACCACTACTCGCGCATGCACCGCAGCAAGCTCATTTTTGCACATGTTGTACAAGGAAAGACATCGGTAGTGTGCTTACAGTGATCTTTGTGCCCTCGGCGGAGAACCCCAGGATGGCGCTCAGCAACCCCAGGGACCCGACAACCGCGGAGACGATGATCGTCGTCTTGTCCATTTTCCCGGCCATTCTTCTCCCAAGTCTTCCCAAGCCTTGCCTTGTGTGCGTGACTGCGTCGGTCTTTATAAACAGCGAACGAGCTGCCCCACTTCTACGATGTCACCAGATTTACGCCAGCACGCGATTGGGAGGAAGCTGGTAACGAAACAGGCTTGCTTAGGCAAAAGTTGGCAGGGGCTGTTGACAGATGCGGGTGTCTTTGTTTACATCGAGCATGCAGCCGGCACGGTAACTTGTATCGACCAATCAAATTGCTGTGCTGTGCTTACAATTTACAAAACGGTACGTTCTATTGTTATTCCCAAGAAAAGCGATGTTCACGAATTCACAAGCCGACAATCGGTTTTAGCATCGGAAGAGAATTCTCACAGTAGGAGAGCTAAGTGTGTATATCAGGGAAAACTCTATTCATCCAAAAGATATTCCCTCATTTTTACATGTCACTTAAAAGTTATCAATTTTTTTTTAAAAAATAGTATGATAGATTAATATGTGACATGTCACTTCATAAACATGCATATTTAAATTCAACTTATACAAGTAGAAACAAAAATAATAAATTTGACTACGAATAAAACACGTAATTCATGGTCATATTTGTTATTTTTGTTTCGAATTGTATAAGTCGAATTTTAACTTGCATGTTTGTGAAATTGATATATCTTCATAATTTTTTAAAATTTTTTGATTACTTTTTTAATGCTATGCACAAAACAACCGGATGTCGGACAAAAAATCCACTTCCGCATATCGGCTCAAATAATGGGATGGTTTCACGTTACTCGGCCCAGCCGAAGCATAGTTGGGCCCTGTCGAGCCACCACAATATGGACTTTGTTTCGGCCCACTAAACGAACATTACTTTGTTTCGGATGGTTCATTCCTCATGATTGATATCGGACGGTGCAAAAGAATTGTGGTGATGTGGAAGTGTAGGAAAGCAGGAAAATACCATTAAATTACACTAAGTGGGGATGATTTGTATAGATTTATAGGATTACTTGCTAATCTATGTGATTTGTCTTAGCTTTTAATTTCACTAAGTGGCGATGATTTGTATAGGTTTATAGGATTACTTGCTAATCTATGTGATTTGTCTTAGCTTTTAATTTAGGTGTGATCATCTTCTTAGAGGAGGGGTTTATAGATTCACAACCCCAGATTTACTCAAAACACATACTCCGTAATCGTCGATAGGTTTTAATTAAGACCTTACCAAATTTTAATGGTGTTAGGTGAGTGGAAGGTTTTAAATCTATCAAAATTTTTTGGTAGAGATCGATAAGGTTCCATCTTTTCTAATTTATTTACATACTAAATTTGAATAATGGTAATTGTTGATGGGAGCAAGTACTACTTCAAAGTGATAATTATTTAAGATAAAGTTTAAATCGTACTAGAAAACAACTATTTTAGGATGATGAAAGTACATGCCAAATGCGTTGTACGAGAAACGCAACATCACAAATCACAAACCAGCTCGTAAAATGGGTGTGTTTAGTTCACACTAAAATTGAAAGTTTGGTTGAAATTGAAACGATGTGACGGAAAAGTTGGAAGTTTGTGTATGTAGTAAAGTTTAGATGTGGTGGAAAAGTTAAAAGTTTGAAAAAAAAGTTTAGAACTAAACTCGGCCATAGTCACTTAATTTCCAAACTTAAGAAAGCTAGCATGTACTACTACACAGTACGTGCATGTATCTCATATACACAGAAAGCACGACACAAACTTTATGACTACACCCTTTGGTTCGAGTCACAGGGTGACACCATGACATATATACTGAGGTCACGGTACTACACCTGTGCGCATGGGAAACGTTGCTGGTTCGGCGCCTGCCATCCATAATAGCCTTGAGCAGAAGCAGGTGCCGCGAATTGCTGGTTCGGTGCTTGCCCGTACCACCCACCTTGTGGCGGCAAAGTAGCCGGATGAGCGAACGGCAGCTGGTTCGGCGGCGGCGCTTGACTGGCACCGATTCCCTGAGCCGGCACAGGAACCAGAAGAGGATTAGGATACACCGGCTGGAACGCGATGACCATCGGGACCACGATCGCGGCGTGGGCTCATCATCATCGTACTCCGGCTCTGGCCTCGTGCGGAGCATGAGGTACGTAGGAGGTGACCCCGAGCACCATGGAGATGAGGACCAGCGTAGACGCCCTCGTGGATCTTGTCGCAATCCGAATCCTCGACCGCGGCGTGCAGGAGCAACACAAACACAATCACCGGCACTATCCTGCACGCAACGCAAAAAACGCGGCGCTTGCCGTGTATGCATGTGACGTAGCAACGATGCATCCCATGATCGATCAGAGCGCGTGTGACGATGGGTCACTCACCATGAGGTGATGGCGCAGACGACCTGCACCGTCTCGGAGAGGATGCAGCAGCTGCGGCAGCCATGGCGACGTGTGTTATCATTAGGAAGATGACCGCGCAGATGCCCAGCTTGACCGCTGCTGATCTCGACGAGCCGTGGTCAACTTAACACTGATCACTACTAAAAAATAATTTTTAGCAACGTTGGTCTTTTATTTTTCCAGACGGGTATGACCATTAGAGCCAAATAGCCGCCTACAAAAATACAAATCAGAGTGAAACCTGCTGCCTGCCCGCGAAAATCCATTTTCGCAAACGGACCACTTAAACGGTCCGCCTGCAAAAATACATTTCATTTATGCAAGCGGATCTCTTATGTGGTCCACCTGCGAAAATACATAGCGAATATAAATAGAGGCTACATACCCTAGATTTTTTCTAAGTCCTCTTTCTCTCGCCTCTCTCCCGGACCTCTCCCCTCCCCTAACCTCTCCTCCTCTCCCCGGCGCTGACGGCAGCGTAGGGTGCACGGCGGCTACCGTTGAAGGCGGCGGCGGAGGGCGGTGGACGGCGGCCGGCGGCGCTCCCCTCCCTTGCTCCCTCCCAGATCTGGCCTGAGGGGGGCGGGGGGAGGGCGGTGGCCACGCGTGCGGCGGCGGCGGAGGGCAGCGGCTACCGGTGGAGGCGGCGGCGGAGGGCGGCAGCTACCGGCGGGAGGCGGAAGGTGGTGGCGGGCAGTGGCGGAGGTGGGCGGCAGCGGCTCTCGGTCCCTCCCTCCCTCCCAGATCTGGCCTGAGGGGGGTGGGGGAAGGGCGGTGGCCGGCGATGCTCCCCTCCCTCGCTCCCTCCCAGATTTGGCCTGAGAGGGGGCGGGAGGAGGGCGGTGGCCACGCGTGCGGCGGCGGCGGCAGCGGGAGGTTGGCGGCGGCGGGAGGAAGGGGGCCATGACGATGTCAGTAGAGGAGGAACCGATGGCCTGGTCAGCGCGCAAGGAGAGGAGCAGCCGGCCAAGAGGAGCAAACGGCCAAGAGGAGCGGCGGCGGCTCTGGGCACCAACTTCCTTCCCCCCAGACGCCGGCGGCGGAGGAGAAGCCGACAGTGGCGGCAGCGCAGACAGCACCGGCCGCTCCACTCCCAAAGCTGGACGGAAGAGGGGAACCGGCCGACAGTGGCAAAGGCAGCGCTCCCCTCGCTCTCGGGCAGCGGCACCGGACGGAGGTGGAGAGCCGTCGGTCGGAGGGGGATGCCGGCGCCGGCGGCGTCGCCAGCGGGTAGCACCGGATTTTTTTTTGTTCCCCTGCTTTATTTTTGCAGGCGGGCCACGGACCCGCCTACGAAAATCACCTATTTTCACAGACGATGGGATAGCGGTGGATGACTCCCCCGCCTACGAAAACCGTTTTTTGCCGCCTGTGAAAACTATTTTTCTAGTAGTGGATGCCGCCGGTGTCCAGAAACATCACGAACGCGATCACCACCGCAATCCTGTACTATCACGCAGTATGGTGCACACACATACGTGGCGGAGTGGCGGGCGAGCGGCGGCTCCTGGCGCAGAGAGAAGATAAAACCGAAAGGGAAGAAGAGAAAAAAGAGTAGAGAAGAAGATTGCTGACTAGGATTGTTTACTCCATATTTTTTTTTCTTACTTACATGTGGGCTCTACATATTTTTTTATTTTTTCTGATTAGGATGCCACGTCAGCGAAACCATGCATCTATACTACTTGGAACTTTTTTTTGACGGTTTTATATAGTTAAGGGATACACATTTCTGGTATTGCAGTTAGGAGATCTCAGACAGACTCGGCGTACAATTGGGGGACCTTAGGTGAACTTATTCCTTTATTCTACCACGCGATTGAACCATGTAAATATAGTTGTCCAAAAAAGGCCCGCAGCCCGATGGTATGGCCCACGGCACAAAGATTTGGCCTGGTCTAGGCACGACACGACCCTGTCAGGCTCGTGCCGGCCTGACTCAACCAATGGGTTGTGCTTGGGCCTCTTTCTCGGCACGACAGGCTTGCCCAGCACGGCCCAACCCAACGAGTAGGGAGGCAAAACAGATTTATTCCAGTTATATAAGGTACGACTCAAAGAAATAAGGGACACAAAATGCACTTATTTTCAACCATATAAACACGGCCCAAAAAGATGAGTGAAGCAAAATAGACTTATTCTAAGGCGAGCACGATGGGCTAATCGTGGTTTCGTATCGGCACGATACGACCCGCACCTTATTGGGTTGTGTCTGGGCTGCATTTATAGCCTGTGGGTTGACCCGGCACGACACGAAGAGTATATCGGCCGTGCCAGCCCGACATGCTTTGGGCCGTGCCCTAGATGTGCCTGGGCTGAGGTCGTGCTGGGTGGCCCATTTGGCTGTCTATACATGTGAAGCCTGCGGCGGCAGGAACTGCGGTTGGCCCATCGCGACCCCGGCCAGCGGCGGCTTCTTGGCCGGCGCCTCGTCGGCTTGCGTTCGGAGCATGACGTAGGACGTGATCCCGAACGCCGTGGCAGCGAGGGCCAGCACGGCCGCGCCAGCAAAGATTCCGCGCTTGACGACGTAGCAGTCCGGCATGGTTGCCCCCTTGCCCTCTATGTTCACCACCGCGCCCACCCCGAACAGAAACCACGCGATCCCGCTATCCTGCATATCCGCTCCCACGCACGCTCGATCAGTTTCGGCATGAATCACGGTTCGCCGAGTATAACCACACCGTACCTGCGGTGATATCGGTGGTGACTAACCATGACATGACGGCGCAGACGACGCCGATGATCCGCTTGGTCTCCGACGGGATGGACCGGCCGGACATGCAGCAGCCGCAGCAGCCGCCGACGGCCGACACGGTGATCTGCACTAACAGCAGGAAGACGGCCGCGCAGACCCCCAGCTCGGCTGCGGGGTTCTGCGGGTACAGGCACTCGCCGCGCGCGCCGACCAGTACATCGGTCGCCTGCAACAACATCGTTTGCCGTCGTCATACACCGATACCACTACTCGCGCATGCACCGCAGCAAGCTCATTTTCGCACATGTTGTACAAGGAAAGACATCGGTAGTGTGCTTACAGTGATCTTTGTAACCTCGGCGGAGAACCCCAGGATGGCGCTCAGCAACCCCAGGGACCCGACAACCGCGGAGGCGATGATCGTCGTCTTGTCCATTTTCCCCGCCATTCTTCTCCCAAGTCTTCCCAAGGCTTGCCGTGTGTGCGTCACTGCGTCGGTCTTCATTAACAGCGAATGAGCTGCCGCACTACTACTACTGTCACCCCATTTACGAAAACTAGCTGGGTGGCCCGCGCAATTACGCGGCTAGCATCTATATAAAATTATATATTTTTTAAGTATGATTTTACTTAAAATTTATTAAATAGTTATCTCGTTGTCTTAAGATTTTGAAAAACCAAATCTTATCATCGTCGTGTTTCTAATTTTGTAGTTTTTAAAAGACACATCAGTTGATACCTCTTACTTATGTCATATTATTTTTTATTAGCTTGCTCTATCTATCGCTGTTTCTATTTATTCTCCTTGGAACTTTTAAAAATTGGATCTAAAAACTATTAGAGTTCATTTTCCTGTTGGGCTTATTTTTAATAATTTCTAGAAGTCCCGTCAAACGCTGCTATTATACTCCTCTACAACCGTCCACTGCATCTTCTCTTTATTATCATTGCTATTTTAAAAATTAAACATAAGTATCGTTTAGGTTCATTTTTTTTACTTTCTAGAAGTTTCGCCAAAACGTCAACGCTTTGTCACTGTACTCCTCTACGGCTCGTCCGCTGTCGTCCTTCTTTATTGTCATTGAGATTTTAAAATCAAACATAATTATCATTGGGGATTATTTTTTTTTTACCTTTTAGAAGCCCGTACCTTTAAAAATTGAACCTTATAGTTTTTAAAGTTTTGTTGTCTCGTTGGGTTTTATGTTTTTTTATAATTTTTAGAAATCCCATCAAACACTACCATATACTCCTCTACGACCCGTCCGCCGCATAATCTTTATTGTCATTGGGATTGTAAAAATTAAACATAACTATCGTTGAAATTCATTTTTTACTTTCTATAAGACCGACCAACCATCAGCGGCTCTACCATTGCACTCCTATACGACCCGTCCGTTGCCTCTCATTTTTATTGTAATTGAGATTTTAAAAATCAAATATAATTATCATTGAAGTTTATTTTTTTTACTTTTTAGAAGTCCCGCCAACCGCCTTGACTGATTACTTCACGACATGCCTGTCGTATTTCCTTTTAATCGTCAATAGGATTCTATTTGGTGTTTTATTAGTAGTTTTTAGATGTCTCATCAACCGCCACCACTCTCCTCCTCTATAGGTATGTTACTTAATTAATCTCATCATGTGTTTTAGATGGTCTTTTCTTTTAATAGTCTTATTTTTTTATCACCAATTTCAGTTATTTATAAATTGTATTCCTAGTTGAAATCTTTTTTTCCTAATTTCAGAATTTATTTTATTTATTATTATGTTCTTTTGATTTTTTATTTTTTATTTTCAATTCAGTTGTTTCAAAATTATATTCCTATTTTTATTCCGAATATTATTTAATCTACTATTGGGTTCTTATATGTATTTTTATTTCAATATTGCTTATATTTAATTCCTAATTTAAGTTAATTTTGAATTGTATTCCTACGTGAACTCTTATTTTCTTTTCTTTTTTCTAATTTCGATTTTTTATTTTTTTATTACGAATTTTAATTAATCTCGTATTGGATTCTTATATGGACTCTTCTTTCAATATTCCTTATTTTTAATTCCGAATTTTAATTATTTATAAATTTTATTCCTACTCGAACTCTTCTTTTTTCTTTTTCTAATTTTGAAATTTATTCTATTATTATTTCGAATTTTAATTAGGTTCCTATATGGACTCCTCTTTCCATATTGCATATTTTTAATTCCGAATTTCAGCTATTTTTAGATTGTATTTCTATTTGGACTCTTTTTTTTCTTTTTCTCCAATTAATGTGGAAATTTCTAGCCCCCAAGCGAACGTGGTGGCTCCTTTCAAGGCTGTTTTAATAATATAACATAGATTGTTTAAGCCGGACGTTCGGCACTTGGAAAAAAAATCGGCTCACCATCCCATCTACTCCACTCGTTCTCTTTCAACTCCACCAGCCACATGCTAGCCTTATCTCTTCAACTTCCCAATTTTTCTCTCTCTAGCTCTCCCTAACTTCCTACCTAGCTTATCTCTCTCTGCACAACCTCACCAGCGACGGAGAAGGTACGATGACGACCTCACCGGCGCTGGCATGCCCCACAACTAGCTTCGAGGCTACGGAGGAGGTGCGACCACTAGTACAATAATGATTTTTCCGTGTGGTCGGAATCAGTTTTCTCATGCGGATCTTCCAATGGTCTAGAACGAGGTATCTGCGAAAATCATGATTTTCACGTGTGGGCGCCCGCACGGGAAAATAAAAAAATCAAAACCGGAACACTAATCCAGCTAACGCCGCCGCCACCACCGTCGTCGTCACCGCCTTGCCCGAGGCCTGCAGCCGTCACCATTGTCGTCGTCACCGCCTTGCCCGACGCCCGCCGCCGTCACCACCGCCGTTGTCGCTGTCACCACCGCCGTCGTCGCCGCATTGCCCGAGGCCCGCCGCCGTCGTCCCCGTGGTCGTCGACGATGAATCCGACCTCGCCGCGGTGGCAGGCGACGGATCTGGCCTCCCCACAGTGGTCGGTGATAGATCCGCTCTGCCGCCACCACCCTAGGCAGGGGTGGATCTATAGTTATAGGGTTGGTGTCAGGCGACACCGACGACTTTCGGCAAAATCTATAGCGAAACTGCTTATTCATATACTATAACACCATGATCTAAGTATAATTAGCATACTATGGCACTGATAGACGCGTTCTGACACCAACGAATCGATTTTCTGGATCCGCTACTGACCTTAAGCGATGCCGATGCTGATACCACCGCTGATGCTGCCGCCGCCATCGATGCCGCTGCCTCCGCCGCTCTAACCGCTCTAACCGATGCCGCCGCCTCCGCCGCCATAGCCGAGGCCGATGCCGTGACGCCGTCGCCGGTGTTTGATGGTATTTTGGTGATATGCAAGGATTACTCGTATTTGCCAAAGTAAGCAAACAATGTGAAAGTTATATGCACTAGTGGAGCTGGCTCTAGCTTGTCATTCTGTACGTGATGCATGGCCATGCAAATACATGCACAGGCAGAAGCATACACCATGCCCTATATATACTTGGTTAATTAGTATGTATATGCGCGCACGTGTATAAACTAAAGGAAATCAAGAGCTAGTCATATCCCATATGATAATTGGCTGGTGAAGCAATTACGTGCATGCATGCATAGCAATGCACAAACATATTATATATATGGTCCTCAATTAATGGCCAGGTGACACTGGTGGAGAAACCATCTTTCGTCGGTCGGCCGATTTCCACAATAGTCCCGGATGCAATAAAAACCGGGGCTAAAGATGATCTTTAGTCCCGGTTCAAAAGGGTAACGGGCATATTTGATCTTTAGTCCCGGTTTGTGTTACCAACCGGGACTAAAGATCATCTTTAGTCCCGGTTCGAATGCTGTCAGGACCTGTCAGGCCCCCCCGGGATCTTTAGTCCCGGTTGGTAGCACCAACTGGGACTAAAGATCTTAACTTTAGTCCCGGTTGGTAATACCAACCGGGACTAAAGATCCCGGTGATCTTTAGCTCCGGTTGGTGCTACTAACCGAGACTAAAGATCTTAACTTTAGTCCCGGTTGGTAATACCAACCGGGACTAATGATCCCGGTAATCTTTAGCCCCGGTTGGTGCTACCAACCGGGACTAAAGTCCCACCCCTATATATATATATGTCTTCTTCCTCCTCCAGCTGCCCGAGCAAGCTTCAAAATTTCTTCAAAAAAGAGGGGAGGTCATGCCAAAATTTCTATTGAATTTATTTTGGTGATTACATACAAATCGGAGGTGCCTAAAAGGTTTGCAACTTCATCCTCCAATGTTTTTTTTTGTCATACTACATTTGCACCTATGTTTTGCACACTTTTTTTGTCTCCAAAATTTAGTTGTAAGTTGATGAGAGAGAAAATGTGTGTGGGGAAGAAAGAATATATAGAAATTTAGTTCATTTGCTAAACAAGGTTTTATAAAATAGTTGAGAAGGAAAACTCTAGTGAAAGTTAATATTAAATAATAGAAAACAAACTAAAATAAAAATTAAAAGAAGTAAAACACATTAAAATTAGTTTAAAACTTTACAAATAGTTTTTAAGAATTATTTGGTGTAATATTTTATGATTTTTGTATGAATAAAGATATCTTATAATTATTGTATGACTGTCATTATTGTAAGAATAATTATTTGTGTGCGGTTTTTTTGACTCATGTAGATGGATCGGCAATGGATGTACGCTGACCGGCGGTCCAAAGAGTTTATTGACGGCGTGCACTATTTTTTGAGAGTGGCCGAAGCTAACGGGCAAAGGGGTTTTATTTGTTGTCCATGCAATAAGTGTAAGAATCAGAAGGAGTATTCTGCATCCAGGACTATTCATTTCCACTTGTTTGAGTCGGGGTTCATGCCAAGCTATAATTGTTGGACATCCCACGGAGAGCAAGGTGTTGAAATGGAAGAAGATGAAGTGGAAGACGACAATATTCCGGACTTTGCTCAGTATGTTGGATTTGAAGGAAATCAAACGGGCGAGGAGGAAATAGCTGCTGATGGTAACGACGTTGCGGATGATCTTGGTCAGATGTTGCAGGACGCCAGGGAAGACTGCGAAAGTGAAAAGGAGGCCCATAAATTGGACAAGATGTTGGAGGACCACAGAACTTCGTTGTACCCAGGTTGCGAGCAGGGGCAGAAAAAGTTGGATACCACTCTGGAGTTGTTGCAATGGAAGGCAAAAAATGGGGTTAGTGACAAGGCATTTGGCGATTTATTGAAACTCGTCAAGAACATTCTTCCGGGGGGAAACAAATTGCCCGAGACAACGTACGAGGCTAAGAAGATAGTCTGCCCGTTAGGACTGGAAGTTCATAAGATTCACGCATGTCCGAACGATTGTATCCTATATCGCGGTGAGGAGTATGAGAACCTAGAAGCATGCCCTGTTTGCAAAGCACTACGATACAAGATTAGACGGGACGATCCAGGAGAAGTTGACGGGCAGCTAACAAAGAAGAGAATTCCTGCTA